CTGAATGTAACCAGTCATCCCCGAGGAATCTGTAGACAATATGGCGCTCCATCTCCCTATATTCCACCTCACGAGAATAGCTCCACATCCTTTCTAAGCACTGAACTCATTCTCTTTCTCTCTCTACAAAACTTTTTGTCTTCCCCCGGGGAAAAAAAAATCGCTTCCTTTTCGTTTACACATATAAAATTCTACTCCCGCTTCATTTTCTTATTCGTTTTCTCAGTTTTCACTTTGCAAAGAAATTTCGAGAAAATTTAACAAAATCCAAAGCTCATAAATAAAAAGCTGATTTCTTTCGTCTATTAAAAATTTAACCCTTTACACTATTAAACCCCCCTTTCCAAATAAATAAAAATCACAAACGGTTAAAATGTATATAAGAATATTGTATATACAAAATATATACTATGTCCAAAGTCATAAAAATGAAATAAAAAATTAATCCAATTACAGTGTATGAAACATATTTGGATATAGGTTTTCTTGTGGCTATAAAAAAAAGTATATCTCTAGAGGCAATAGAGGACAAACTCTCCCTTTTTTCCACTTTCTTCTTGCTTTTGTACAACTGTAAGTTTTAAGAATACGTTCGAAGTAACGCACCAGACCGCAAAATCCATAATTACCATAAATTCACGGGGTCGCTATTCTCTCCGGTCAATGAATCACTTTTAGAGTTTACATCCGAGATCGTAAAACTCTCCCCATCGTATTTAGCCACGATTAAAGTGAATAAAAGGAAACCTCGTAAAAGTTGCGTCATTGTCTTGGATAACTGAACTTTGAGATTCTTCACAAACACCCCGGAAATAATCGCGATTTCGTCGTGGCGAGAAAAAAGAAAACTTACGAGTCTATATATATACACGACATATTCACACAACAATGGCGTAAACACCTCAATTTTTATTAAAACTCTTCTTCTTAGTTCTATTATTATTATTATTATGTTATAATTTTTATTCTTTCAATTGTAATTAAAGAATTTTCTTCTTCTATATTTAGTTCAATGATTTTATTCTCATTTTTGATTGATTTTAATATCATTTTAAATTTGAATCCATTTCACTTTCAATTCTAATTGAATTTAAAATTTGTCTTTAAATTCCAATTTAGTTTAATTTTTTATTCATTACGAGATGCATTATTATCACCGCCTCACAAATCGATCTTAAAGTTATATTTGATAAAATTTACATTTTTCAAATGGCAACCCAGATAGCACGTAAGCTTGCAGCAACCTTGCGGCAAGCTAGCCGCACAATATTGCCAACCTTGCACGGCAAACTTGCGGCAAGCTTATTGCAACCTTCAAATGTCTCACCTGATCGAAAGCTTGCATGGTATAAGGTTACCAAAAGATTGCACAATAAGATTATCGCAAGATTGATCAGTAAGCTTGCACGGTAAGATTGTAGCAAGGTTGGTGCAAGGTTGCCAAATACCTTGCTTTAATAACCTAAAAAAATTTTTTTAAAAAAATGTTTCGTCTAATTTATATAATTAAATTATAAATTAATAAATATATTATATAAATTAGACGAAACATTTTTTTAAAAAAAATTTTTCTTCACAGAAAAATAAAAGGCATTAAAATAAGCTGCAACGCTTCTTATTTTAATCTAATTTTGCTTATTTTAATCCATTTTGGTATTAAAATAAGCAAAATTGGATTAAAATAAGAAGCGTTGCAGCTTATTTTAATGCCTTTTAATTTTCTGTGTTAGGTTCAAAGCAAGATTATTTAGCAAACTAGCATCAACCTTGCTACAAGCTTACTGAGAACACAGAAAATTAAAAGGCATTAAAATAAGCTGCAACGCTTATTAATTTAATCAAATTTTGCTTATTTTAATACCAAAATGGATTAAAATAAGTAAAATTGGATTAAAATAATAAGCGTTGCAGCTTATTTTAATGCCTTTTAATTTTCTGTGAAATTTTGCGATAATCTTATTGTGCAATCTTGCAGTAACCTTACACTGCAATCTTTCGGTCAGGTATGGGATATTTGAAGCTTGCGGCAAGTTTGTCGCGCAAGGTTGGCAATATTGCGCGGCAAGCTTGCCGCTAGGTTTCTGTAAGCTTAAGTGCTATCTGGGAAATGACATGAAAATTTATTTGTTTGCTAGAATGTAAATTTCCTATAATTTTTAAAATGATCCCAACCAAAAATTTGAATATTATTCCAGAGTTCACTACTGGCGCAATACTGGTTTAGTATTGGCTGCCGAGGCTGGACAGTCTGTACTGAAGTAGTATTGGTATTTTTATTGTATCAGTACTGTTACAGTACCACCCTCCCAGTACTGTCAAACCAGTACTGAGCCGATATTGAGCCACTACTGGCACAAATAGATTTTCTTTTTGATTAATACTAGTTTACAAAAAGTTCTACAGTGAACCTAATGAATCTTTTTGTTTAAATATTTTGTTTATAAAAATTTTTTCACCTTGATTTTATTCTTCAAAATTAAAATGTATTTTATTTTGCTTTTCTGTGGATAAAATTATTTAAACAAAAAGTTTCCTGAGATCAATTACAAAACATTTTGCAAGATTTTCTTATTGTTTTCAGATATGCAATAAACCAAAAAAAATTTTTAAACGATCAAACTAAAATAAATTTTATAAATAATTAATATTTTTTAAAATAAAAAATTTAAACAAATTTTCTTGAGAACACTTGTTATAAATCAAAAAACAACTTTTATTTTCTTAAAAAAGTTTTTTAAAAATTCATTTTGATGCAAATATATACTTATGTGAATAAAAATAGATATTATGCTTTTGAATTTTTTCTTATAGTAGAAAAAGTAATTTTTCATTGATTTTATGAGAAACAGAGGTGTTTTGGTCAAATTAACCCTTAGATTTTAGAGTTTTTTTTCAAAAAGAGTGTCAAAAAAACATGCAAAAAACATTTTCCAAATGTTGAGCAATTGGCTTGAAAATCGTTGCTCGGGGGTTTTCGGGGTCGCTGATTACGAATCCGAGGTTAGTTTTTCAAAATTCAAAATGTCGGATCCAATATGGCGGATGACTTTTTGAAAATCTAATATTATTGGCCTGAAAATTGTAACTCGGGGGTTTTCGGGGTCGCTAATTACGAATCCGCGGAGTCAGTTTTTCAAACTTCAAAACGGCGGGTGCAACATGGCGGACAAATATTTAAAATCACTGGAAACTACTTACTTCAGACGAATATATTAAGTTTTTTCAAAAGTTGTCCGCCATATTGGATCCGTCATTTTGAATTTTGAAAAACTGACCTCTGATTCGTAATCAGCGACCCCGAAAACCCCCGAGTAATTATTTTCAAGCCAATTGCTCAACATTTGGAAAATGTTTTTTGCATGTTTTTTTGACACTCTTTTTGAAAAAAAACTCTAAAATCTAAGGGTTAATTTGACCAAAACACCCCCGTTTCACCTAAAATCAATGAAAAATTACTGTTTCTACTATAAGAAAAAGTTTTCAATCATTTAAATTAAAATCCCAAGGGGGCGAAATATAGGCCTTAGGGGCCCTCTTCCTTTTCAAAAGATACTTATTTTATATAATTTTTATTGATTGTGATTTTTAATCACTCCAATTTATTTTGTTTAAAATCTTAAGAAAATGTTTGTATAATCTAAAAAATTTATTTCTCAAAATTCTTTATTTAATCTAATTGTTATGTGCCCTAATTTTACAATCGTTTATTTGAATCAAATAAATATTTTTTCAGTGTATATATAGTATTATCAAATCATTTATTTTAAAATATAAATAAATACATTATTATAATAAAATTAATAATTAAGATTTATAATTAGTTATTAGTTGCGAATTAATTTCTAAATGAATACGCCAATGTGAGAACTATTAAAAAGATATCATTCAGAAGACCCCATATATATATATAAAATAAAATAACCTCAAGGAGATGCAGATGTCCTCGAAGGTGCATATAAAAATGTTCCACTGGAGGCAGTTATAACGAGTTTCATGCGCGCGAATATGTGACTATGTAGATGATTCCTAAGGCCATATCACATATATTTTTTTTATAATGGACATATATGTATCTATTTGTTAGTTGACGAAATTTTCCCATTGAATCTTAATATCACATACGATTATACGTCTTTTAGGAAGCAAGATAAAAATATTAACGATATATATATATATATATATATATATACGCGCGCATCGCCATATTGACGCGAGATATGCATAATCGCGCGATGAAGGCAAAGTCACTGCAAATAAGAGAGATCATAAACGTTCACTTCTGCCTATAAGATTGAGTCGTTAAGTACGATCAATCTTAACGACTTACTGCCAAACCAGAAGTAACGACGTTCCTCGTTTGGTCATTGAGTCAATTGGATAATTACTTGATTTGTTTATTAGGCTAATTTCATATGACCCTCTTCCAAACGCAACCATAATCTCTGAATTCATTAATATATATATATGAGCAAATCCACGAAACTTTTAACTTTTGTGATTCTCGAATCGAACACTTAAAAATCTGAATATTATTTTTAATTAAAACTTTGAGTATCATTTTTTTTTTGCTAAATTAGTTACAAAGGAACATTTATGTACAGTATTAGAACAATTTGGTAAAAATAAACGTTTTTAAGTCCTTTTTTTGAAAGTATTGTAATTTTAATCTATGGATCGATTATATATATTTTTGCGTTTTATTTTAATCCATTTTGGTATTAAAATATTATCCCACAATTTACATGATTTAAAAATTAACTAATTCATATAGAAAAAATCCAGAAAGTGAAAATTTTAAGTATATTTCAGATTTAGAGAAATGAGTTTTTGATTATATAGAAAATCATGAAAAAAAACCAGAAAGGAAATGTCAGAGTAGGAACAATTTTTGGATTTAGACTTTATAATATATATATATATATATATATATATATATATATATATATATATATGTAACAGATGATGATCAGTTTTCGGTGAATGTGTCTATCTAATTCCAGAAGGATCATGAAAGGTGCAGGTGAAGAGAGGTTTAGGACGGATGCTGCTTCTGAAAAGGTGCGTGTAATTATGTATGAGGATAGCATAGCGTTGGATATAACATATCGGGCATTCCAACAGCCAAGAGAACTCGGATCCACCCTCGCAGTTGGCCCGTTAAACTGAATAGCAGCTAATGAACGCGAAGCTCCAGTCTTCTGTCAGTTCGTCCGTCCGTCTAACCACGATCGTACGAACAGTGGCAAAGTGAATTCACAATGAGTCTCAAGCTAAGCTCCTTTTACATATACTCTATATCCAAAAACAAATCACCTTTCTTCCTTTATTTTAAACTTCATTTCCGCTTCAATTATGTAATTATCCAAGTTATAATAATAAATAAATTTGTAATTTTCAGATTTTTTAAAAATTTATGACAATATTTGTTCTTTTTCTATACAAAAAGTTTTTCTATTAATTAGATATATCAAAGATTTTTAGAGCTTTCTCGAGAAGGCAAAATAATTATGACTGCTTCAATTCCTTTAAATTCCTAAGGAATATTTTCATTTTTCAGGAAAACATTTTTTCAATAAAAGAAAATTATTTTTCAGTAAGTATGATACCCTAGTAGAAATTTGTCCCAGTAATTATCGTGGCACTGGACAGTTGCGCTAGAAGCTGTCTAGTAACTTAACACTACAACTGGCTAATTACTCGAATGGAATGTCACGCTTTTTTCGTCTAGTTATTGTCTAGCCCAACTTGATAAATTCTGATCAACGGTCCGTTAAAAAAACTAGACAAATTATTTCTTTTAAATATTCTCAAGATTTGTCTAATATTAAGATTTAACGTAAGAAACTAATTATACAATAATAAATTATATAATTACATTAATTTTTTTAAATTATAATTTAAATTATTTGAAGAAAATATAATGTATAGTAAATTCTTAAAAGCATAATATTTGTCAATACTGTTTAATTTTTAATTTTAAAAAAAAATTTTACTTGTGTAAAAGGATCACAAATATTTTCTGGTACACTGAAACATCTACTTTTTGATTGCACTGTAATGACGACTGAAACAAATATTTTTGTATTAGTAATTTATTATACAATTATTATTATCAACTTTTAAACACGAAGAGAACGCAATTTCAACGAAAAATCTCGGGGGTAACGGGGAGCGAACACGGGTCCGCTGGGCGCGAGGTACGCACGCTGCGCAATCTGCTATACTAACGATATCCATCAAACGAAAAATATAGCAGATATATTTTAGTTCAGTGCTGTAGCTAGAAATTGCATGCTTTATATAAATATTTTTACTATTATCTGCCAAAATACATATTTTAGAATTTTAATTTTTCATAATTTACTGAAAAATAAATTTACACTTGAAATAACAATTTTAATCAGCACAAATTTCATTAAACCATTATTGTATTAAACAATAGATATTTTAAATTTTCTAAAAATTTAAATTTAATTTTTTACAACTTAATTTTAATATTTTATAATTTAAAATTTTTTTTAATTTAGTTATTAATCCACCTATTATTAAAATTATATATTTTTTTTAAAAAAGATTTTAAAAATTTAAGGCATAAAAACATTTTGATTTAAAAAAATAAAAAGAGAAATAAAATTATTATTATTATTTATTTATATTATTTATTGTTTTCTAAGTGAAAAACTCAACGAAAACAGTAATTTTTATTGTTTTTTAATATCAAAGGATAGAATTTATAGGTTAGGTTTTCTAAATTACACATTTTTTTCAATATCAATTGAGAATAAACTTTCTTAATAAAAAAATATATGATATATAAATGGAACAATAAATAAAATGCCAATAATAGATAATAGAATAATTTAATTTATAAAAAAAATAAAATCGGACAAGTGCGAGTTACACTCGCACTGAAATCGAGGGTTCCGTACTCGAAGCGAACTTATTTGGTATAAAAACAAATGTTTAAAAAATATGTGTTGTATGACAACTAATATAAGTGATACAAAAAGGAACAATTTTGTAAAATTCAAGAAAATTGTTCCTCTTCGTATCACTTATATTAGTTGTCATACAACACATATTTTTTAAACATTTGTTTTTATACCAAATAAGTTCGCTTCGAGTACGGAACCCTCGATTTCAGTGCGAGTGTAACTCGCACTTGTCCGATTTTATTTTTTAAAAAATATTTTACTAAAAAAATATAAGAAACATAATTTTATTTCAACTCGCAATATTTTTATTGTATTTACATTTTAAAAATATATTGAATATTAAATTTTATCTTTCTAAGTCAAAAAGAGATAAAACTTAAGATATTGATATAAGGCTAGTAGCTGCTTGTCAAGGAAAAATCGAAAGTTATCTAAAAAATAAAATTTGTTTATTAATTCCAGAAAAATCAACTCCAATCATCCTCGCTATATTTTTTTTGTAATCTACAAGTAAAAATACGTCAAAATATATATAAATTTGAATCACTGTAGAAAAACTTTTTTCGTTTTTTGCGGAAAAATACATTTTTTTCTGAAATTTATCATTATTCTTCAAAAATTTGATAAAAATTGATCATCAACTCCAATCGCGCTTACATTTTTTCCCTGTATTTTTCACGCAAAAATTGAGTTTTACAGCAAGTATGAACAGTCTGGATTGAATATTGTGTGCGCTAGGGAGAATAAATCATTTTTTTCGAAATTTTTGATTTTTCCTTGACAACGCTATGTAAATTAATCCGAATCAAGTTCGCTATAATTTTCCTGTAATTTTCACGTAAAAATACGTAAGTGTGTCAAATTTGAGCTCTTTATGTCAAAAGATGTGGCCGCTAGGGGGGGGGGGTACATACTCATTTTTAGGTATTTTTTGTAAAAATTCATAGTTTTTCCTTGACAACGCTATGATAATCAACTCCAATCATGCTCGCTATATTTTTTTTGTAATCTACACGTAAAAATACGTTAAAATATATCAATTTAATTTCCTTTAAATAAAATTTTGTTCGTTTTTGGTGGAAAAATACATTTTTTTCCTAAAATTGTCATTTTTTCTTGAAAAACTTGATAAAAAGTTAATCATCAACTCTAATCGTGACCGCTTTTTTTCCCCTGTATTTTTCCCGTAAAAATACATTTGTATACTAAATATGATCTGTCTGGGTTGAATATTGTGTGCGCTAGGGAGAATAAATTATTTTTTTCGAAATTTTTGATTTTTCCTTGACAACGCTATGTAAATTGATCCGAATCAAGTTCGCTATAATTTTCCTGTAATTTTCACGTAAAAATACGTAAGTGTGTCAAATTTGAGCTCTTTATGTCAAAAGATGTGGCCGCTAGGGGGGGGGTACATAGTCATTTTTAGGCATTTTTCGTAAAAATTCATGGTTTTTCCTTGACAACGCTATGTTAATCAATTCCAATCAAGTTCGCTATAATTTTCCTGTAATCTACACGCGAAAATACATATGTGTACTAATTTTCAGCCCTCCAGATAAATTTATGTGGCCGCTAGGGGGGGGGGGGGTACACGATTTCAAAAAAACCGATATTAATAGGGTTCCGAACCGAGTACGGAACCCTAAAAACATACTAATATATTCAGAAAATATGTGAATATAGATTTTATTTATTTATTATATTAAAATAATAAATTATGTTAATTTATATTTACCTGAATTAATTACAATTTTATTATTTAAGAAAATAATATAATAGTTACATGAACACAGATTTCTAGCACTTTTTTGTCTAGTTATTAGTCATGTACTGCAGCACTGCTGCCACGAAAGAACACGAAAGTATAATTTCTAGAGACACTAGACAGTGCCATTCCAGCAACTGGACAAAAGTTGAATCTAGCCAATTTCAAGTTCAACTTGAATGTTTTCTAAGACTGTTGGTCAAGTAACTTTACAGTAATTGTCTAGTTTGTCTAGAATCAGCGTCCACGAGAAAAACTGGCCAGTTACTAGAGTATTTCTAGTGCTTCCATGACAAATTTCTACTAGGGCGATTTGGAAAAAGTATTTTTAACTTAAGAAAAGTAGTAGTAAATGAAATAAATGAGAAATAAATTATTTTGTTAGTTTTTGAAAAAGGAGAAAGGATTTATATTTTCCAGGAAAACATTCTTTCAAAAATAATCAAATAAAAATGATTATTATTATTCTATTGCAATTTAGGTTCAATTGGTAATTTTTTTGAAGGTAATATGTGATGTTTTACAGTAAGAAAATAATAGAGACATATGCTGTTTAATTTTATTTAACTTTGTAAGGAATTTTTTCATTATCCAGAAAAACATTTTTTTAATAAAAATTATTTTTTAGAGGAAGGAATTTGTGGTTTAGGCTTGAATGTCTTATAGTTTCGCTTTATTGGCGTCCGTCCGTCTGTCTGTCCACCCGTTGTACACTCGTATGGTTGCCAGGGTAACAGTTACCATAGAAACCGTTTCCATGACAACCGTTACCATAGCAACCTTTACCATATGGTAGTAAACGTTATCTTAGCAGGACACGAAAACTTGAAATGGCACGTGTAGAAATTTTGCTATGGCTCGGATCGGACGGGAATGTGACGCTACGCCTGATGTGACCCTGATTAAGAAATCCACATTTTCTCGTGGCCCTGAACTATGTCCCTGATCGGGACCAGATTGTTATTCACTACCAGGGCCCTCGTAGGGAAATTTCTACACGAGGGAGGCTCCATGCGCCTGCTTCTATCATGTTTGTAAATATCCAAAAAAAGGGGAAAATATTATCTGTTGCACATTAACATAATGTAAAATTTAAACGTTAAAATCTGATCAGTAAGATGTTTAAGTCAACAAATTCCACGCAAATCAAAAGCGGACAAACTTTATACAACCGTGTATACTGTAGAACATACAAGAAAAGTGTGAATATATATATATATATTCGTATTCAATATGAAATGAAAGACGACTAATACTCATGTGTGTACCAGTAAATGATGCGTAATTAAGTGAACATTTTCTTTTCGGTGGCAGTAAGAAATCAGCCGGCAAAAAGTGAGAAAAGACGCGGTAGGTATTATACATATATATATATATATATGTATATGTACACAATGCCCAAGAGTGATCCGATATGCGACGGCGACTCTGTGGCACTTCAGGGCGGATCTGGTTGGTCAATCAGTGGTGCATTGTACGTAACGAACCTCCACACTTACTAAAGTAATCCTCATACGTGTGTGTGTGTGTGTGCGTGGGTTATTAAATATGAGAAGGGGGAATGGAGGGATCGGAGGCAACTTCCTGAACGTCGATCGACCTATAGGCAGTTATAGTCATATATGCAGTATATGTCTAACATGTCCTGATATACAACACTAAAAGCCTCTCTCATTTTCATGACGATGATGATGATGATGATGATGATGAT